GCAACTTAAACAACTTACATTGAAAGAAATGTTTAATAAAGTAAACAAATAAATATTAAGCTTTTTTTTTTTTTTTTTTTTGTAAATTTTGATACCCTTTAGATCATAATTGTTCTTTATTTCATAAATTATGGTTTCATATTTTTAATTTTAGAATTTCTGCATGCCATCTTACGAGATTTAAACTGATGATCTATAATCCGGAATCGCCGAAGTCCCGACGAGTCCGGATTAACGACTTTTACTGTATCAAAAAATTAGAAAAGAGAAATTGAAAGCAGAAGGCTGGCGCAGACTTTAGCATGTACTATATTTTCCGTAAAAATTTTGCATATGAATAAGTTTGTTTACTATGTTTCCAATTTAAATTAATGCTTCAGGAGTGGATAATATATAATTTATATTACCAGAAGGTCTCATGTTTATTTGTTGTAAATATTTGAATAATTCATTAAATCATGGGGAATTATTAAGGCTCTACTCTCATATGCGCCCTAAGATCACCATATGTGGCGATATGTGTTCTGCGCTGGTTTTTGACGCAATTCCGTGCTGTGGGATGGTTTGGTGGACGATGCTGTTTGTATGGCAACCCTTTTGACGTTGAAACTTAGAGACGTGGTGGCAAGATTTCAATCAGGTATTTTAGATTGTGTGGAAAGTAAATTTAGTATTAAAAGGTACGATGTTGGAGTTGTTAACGAGTCTTTTGTTCATGGGTGTGTTTATGCAGATAGAAGTGCATTTTTGGAATTTCTGTGGGAGTCAGAACTTTTAAAACAGAGTTTGGCATGTCCGAAATGGGGAGCTGATATGAGAACTCGGACGAAGAATGGTGTTTCTGATAGACTTGTGTGGCTTTCCATTCAAGTGGTTGCTGCTTAAGTTTGTGGCTGTTAGCGGAGTTTAAGATTTGGATCGTGGTTTTCTTGTAGTAAGTTAACTTTGGTGGAAGTTTTTATTGTTACTTTCGAAATTTTGAATCACAGAAAGACATGTGATATAGCAAAATCGTGGCACTTTTGTTGACAGATGCTGTGTGACTGGCGAAATTTTATTCACGTATGTATTATGGTAAGTGCATTTTATTTTATTATTTTTATTTTGTAGAATGATATATTCATTGTTTTTTTTTACTATGAATTTCTGTTGTTATTTGAATTGTTTGTAATTTATTTTAGTTTATTTTGTTGATTTGTGTGCAATGCCTAGATTGTGCAATTTGTAGATTTAGTTTAAGTTTAAACATAATGCTGTGTACATTGTATTCTTTGAAATTTATTATTGTTATGTTAATTTATCAAAGTGAGGTGTGCGTAGTTCGTAGATTCTTTCGCTGCCTAGATTGTGCAATTCGTAGATGTTTTTTTAAGTTAAAACACATGGCTGTGTACATGGATTGTTGTCAAATATTTTTGGTTAGAAACTTTACGTTTTTGCTTTCTAAATTTTTTGTTATTTTTTCGAATTTTTAGCTTAAATTGTGTGATTAAAACATGATTTTTGCAGACATTTTAGGCTTAAAGTTCGAAATGTAGACAAAAAATTTAGATAGTAATATGGTACCGTTGAGTTTCTCCCCAAAAATGTTTGGCGAGAAATTTGGCGACCTGAGGGCGCATATAAGAGTAGTTCCATTATTAATTTCTTTTGTACATTTGTCTATTATGCTGTCTGTGTACAAGTCAATAACTTACTTAACCACTTCTTATTTATTCATTTCCTAAAAATAGTAAATAATAATATTAATAAAGTAGTAAGTAATAATAATAATTTAAATTGGCGTAGATTTCATATTAGACTCAAAATACAGTTTTATATAAAATCTCTGTCAATCTGCTATTCCTTTCCTCTTTAATACTGTATTTCACATACTTCCTCTTAACTCTGCATTTTACATGATATGTTTCTTTTGTGTATAAATTTATTTATTTGGCATCATATCATAGCCAGGAAAAGGAAAATTTCTTAAAAAAATGGATCTTGAAAGCTAAGCTTGATTAAAATCAGTGCATGTTGTAAGATTAAGGCAGAATCGAAATCTAAATTTTAACCTTTTTAAAATTGGCCCAAAATGTGTAGGAAGAATCGAAAAAAAAGGGAGGGGAAAAAAAAAGTTGGTACCATTACATTATCTGCTCAACCCTTACAAAAATCACCAGGCAAAATGCTATGTCATCAAACTAAGCAACTCAGAATTATACAAAAATATATTTATCTGGCAACACACTGATGGTTGTTACAGCATATAATACTCTCATCTATCTTGGTGATGGTGGTGGAATTTTGAAATTCGAGAGTCCTGTTTGTGGTCTCTATTTGTTATGATTAACATGTAGTTTTTTCTTTATAACAAATTGTAGTGCTTGAAATTCGAGGGTCATGTTTGTGCTCTGTATTTGTTGTGATTAGCATGCAGTTTTTTCTTTATAACAAATTATAGTGCTACTGCAAAGTTTGCCTGTTAATTAAAGTGTTGTAATTTTTTTCATAAATATGGCATTTTGCCTAGTAGAAGTGAATGTAGGAATGTACATTGGATGAAGTTAATTTGTGCTGTTTTCTGATTTTTTAGAAAAAGTTAAAATGGATCATTGTGCACATGAACTTATGGAAAATAGTTAAATTTTTTATTTTGTATGTTGCATTTTTAATTTCGTTAAATCATTGCTGTGCTGTTTAGTTTTTGGCACGCTGCTTCTTTTAAAATGGATACTGTATGTGTTAGGTTGACAAAAATTAGGCACCAATGATTGGCAACTTTGCAAGATGGTTGGGGGATCATGCAGGAATACTAAGAATTCTGTTGTGTGCTTTCGACTGAGCATACGTGCTTGTATTTTTAAATAATTAATCCTAAATAAAAATTATCATTATTAAAAAATTTCATCATTTGGCCTTCTTTTCTTTAGTCTTTTTCTTGGGGTTATGAAAATCATTGTAAAATAAACCCAGAATGTTTTTTATCATAAGGGCCTAAAAGTGTTAGCCACTGTTATATCCTCGAGATCCATGAATTAAAATAACAAATTAAAACATGTTGAAAGAATGAGCATGATCATATACCATGGTTAAGGACATGATTGCAACAGGGAGGCTAGTTTATATTAGTAAGTTATTTTTATTTTTTGGTACCCTCTTAGACTGTGATGGAAGAAAGAACACAAATTTTGAACGTTTAAATACTTTTAATAAGATACTAATAAAACATCTTTTGATAAACTAAAACTTATAAACACTACATGTAAAATGAAGTATTATGCAGTCAAAAGTCGTTAATCCGGACTCGTCGGGACTTCGGCGATTCCGGATTATCGATTTTTCCGGATTATAGATCATCAGTTTAAATCTGGTAAGATGGCATGCAAAAATTACAAAATTAAAAATATGAAACCGTAATTTATGAAATAAAGAACAATTATGATCTAAAGGGTATCAAAATTTACAAAAAGAAAAACTTAATATTTATTTGTTTACTTTATTAAACATTTCCTTCAGTGTAAGTTGCTTTGTTTCATGTGATAATACTTTCTCTTTAATTCCATTAAACAGACATAATTCCTTGTTTAGTTACAAAGTTCCCCTGTTCAAGTCCTATAATTGCTGTGTTGAGAATACCGACTAATTTGTCAATCGAAATGTTTTCGTTTTCAATAACCTCTGGGTCACTTTCTTCACTATCGGAAGCGAATTATAATGACGAGGAACTTGATTTAAATCATATCAAAGACGGAGTACATCGAGATGAAATGCTAAACTTAGTACGGAATTATAATCCAAATAAAATAAAAACATCTGCTCTGAAGATAAGGATAGTGTTGACAGATCAACTTCCAATCCCCGGTGTGAAATTGATAAACAGATTTCGGATTTCAAAACATACTTTCGCTTTGTAGATACAAATTACATATTAGTAAATATATATTGGAAATTCTATTTGACATAATCTTTCTAATCTATCATAATCTAATAATGACGTTCTCCCCCCCCCCTCTGCCACAGAGCAGCGTGAAATTGATAAACAGATTTCGGATTTCAAAACATACTTTCGCTTTGTAGTAAATATATATCGGAAATTCTATTTGACATAATCGAAAGTTCAAGCTTACTTTTATAAAACTGCTCTAACAGTCTGCAAAAAATAATAAGCCGGATCCAATTCGAAGATTAAGGAACAACGCAATCTGCAACATTAACTGAATTAGATAACTTTAGCTTAGCGTAGAACTCCGTTACACATTAAACGCGCATGCGCACAAACATATTCGCAGCCGTAAGGGTCTTACGCGCTCTCGTAAACGCCTGTGCGCATGCGTGAACGCGACGCATGCGCAGAAAGTTTGTAGCTTTGAGGTCCGGATTATAGATCATTCCGGATTATGGGTGTCCGAATTAACGACTTTTGACTGTATATTCATTTTTATGTATTGAGGAAGTGTAATCAGGTCAAAGCAGTTATTGATAATGAAGATTTTAATATGTAATTGCTAGAGTATTCTCTTCAGTATTTTATTAGTAAATTTGGCAAGCCTGTTAAGATAAAATAAATTATTGAGACGTTTCTGTTAATGGGAATGCCAGTCACCAAATGTATACCAAAGCGGCAAATGTGGTAGCCTGTTTGAATATTGTCCTGAATGGCTGTTCATTATTTAATGTGTGCAATGCCAAAGCTGCACACACTGCCAAAATGTGCAATTCTCTTATGGTTTCACTTAAAAAAATCAGATAATTACATGAATTCTTCATTGCACACATTAAGAATTACATACATGTATATTATGTATATGATATGATTGTTGCCAGTTAGTTAAATTCCATTTTATCAGAAATTTAATGTATTGTCTTGTAAAAAGTCTTATTTTGTATAATGTTTTCCCATGTATGGGAAAAAATAAAAATATATTTTGTTATTTCTGATTAGATGATGCACATTATAAAAAAATAGAATCTGTTGGCTGCTTTTGTATAACATCAATATCTTTTTTTTTTTTTCCTAGAATGCCCAAACATTTTCGTTCTCTGACATTAATCTGTCCTGTAAAAAGGTAAACTATGTCTTTAGTTATTCACTAAATGTATTTTCAAGTTTTTAAATCTAAAATTGTATATATTTATATGAACAGCATGGTTGAAAATGTCTTGGATTAATTTTAAAAATAGTCAAGCGAAACTGTTTATCCAGAAATGAACATTTACCAGTCACATGTAGTAGTGAAGGGGTGCATTCTTGATCTGACTCTTGTATTTTAATGAAGCAGCATGGAATAGTATTAACTATCAAAATATAACTTATTCCATATAAAGAAACTTCATTCGTGTTAGGAGCACCGTAACAACCTTTCTTCCTCAACCGAACTACTAGAAAAGCTCTGTAGGGAGAGAGAAGTCTGTGATGTAAACACATATGTGTGCCTCATAATAATAGGCTGATGTGGTGAATCTCTTGTTAACATGAATGAAATGCTAGAGTATGCCCCAGTGACAAAGTCACAATTACAAATAATAATAATTATTTACAATATATACAGAAAATAGTGATTTAATGCAAAATTAGTGAAATACAGAACATGAAGTACAGTGTAATAAAGATATATGCACAGTTATAGATGCAATAGGAACATATACATAAAACAAAGTGTTAATTATAGTACAAGTTTGTACTCAAGGAATGTAGTCTGTGACTAAATGCTTTGGAAGTCGTATTTTACACCCACTCTTAGTGGTGGATGTTAGATTAAAGACTCGTGGGAAGAAAGCTGAAATTGGAAGAGGTAAAGATGAATAATGTCATCTGGCAAATGGTAAGCAGGTTTTATGTGATCATTTGAAACTACAGTATGTTTTTTGTTTACTTCAATAATAAAATTCTTATTATTTCTGTCAACGACTAATGGCATACCAATATAAGGTGTTGTCAGTGGAGGATTAACTTTGTCAGATCTTAAAATTATATAAGAACAAGTTTTTAATGAGGAATTGAGGAAAATTTTAGGTCTACCATATAGGATAGTAGAAATAGGATTTAAAACTTCATTGCTTGAAGTAAACTGTTGATATATGCAAAATTTATGTCTGGTGTATAGCATCACCAGTCATTAGATTGGAAGATAATATTGGACTATAAACAAGTTGAGCAGAAACTGCTTTGACATCCTCCTTAATGGCTGAATGTATGCCTAAGAGAACAAGTAAGATAGTTTCTACAAAGATGCTTATAGAAGCATTGAATAATTCCATTTGACAGAGGTGATGTACAGAGGTTCAAATCTTGTTGCACCCAAGTGTGTGGCTGAGTTCTCTTAAAAGATTAGATTCAAAATTTTTAGATTGGTCAGATGTAAGCGTGACTGGGAATGAAATCTGGATATCCAGCTGCGTACCAAGGCACAAGTGGCTGTTTTCGTAGTCATGTTGGTTCTTGGAACAACTTCCAGCCATCTTGTGAACTGCTCTATGATAGTCATGCAAAACTGTTTTCAGTCATATGGAGGGAAAGGGCCTATAAAATTTATAAGTATGGGGGCAAAACAAGCATCAATTTCAGCAAATGTGTCAATATGCTTAGTATAACTTAGTGCTTTTAGCTCATTTACTTTTATCACAGCTGTGCATAAAAGATTTTGTAACTTTTCACATGCCTGGCATTAAGTGATTAAATTGAAGGAGGATGAGATACTGGGTTGATAGAAAAAAGTTAAGGTTTTGAAAACTGCTAATCTCATGCACTGGAGGATAAAAGGATAGTGATGTTTTTGGGATGTGTCACGATACCGATGAATATCCTTGAGAGAGAAATAATGTTTCTCTAATTTTAGGAAGGAGGTATTGGTTACTAAAAGTTGTTGAAGTTTTCTTTTCTTTTCTTTTCTTTTTTTTTCTTTTTTTTTTTTTTTTTTTTTTTTTTTTTTTTTCTTTTTTGTCATTTGATTGAGCAGCAGCGAAGTTTAGAAAGTCAAGCACATTAGATAAAATGTCATCTATCTCAATTCGGAATAGCACGTTGGCGACAATTTTGTCAGAACCTTTAGTATATTCAATATCGGTAGTAAACTGGGAGACAAAATCCAAAATGCCATAAATGGCGAGGACCTCATTAGTCACAGTGTTGCTAGAATGAGGTGTTTCATGATCAGTGTAGATGACAAAAATCCTCCCTTCAAGTGTATGCCTAAATTTTATTACTGAAGAATGCACGGAGTTCAAAGTCATAAGCGAACCAATTTGCTTTAGATTTAATTAGGTGAGCAGAAAGCTATAGCTTCTGACTGTTGTTTAGCAAGCTACATGAGGGAGCTGCCAATTGCTACATTAGACGAATAAACCTATAGACTTAATTGTGCACAGGGTATGAGATGCCATTAAGGTTGCTCTAGCAATACCTTCTGTTCCGTCGTTTCGGTAGATAGGTGGCGCTCTGGTTGCGCGCCGATGAAAAATTTTTCACTTGACGCTTGAACATGAAGAATGATGCATGTCATATTTTTTTTTATGCTTGATTATGTTTCATGGCCGCTATAGGCGGAAGTAATATAAGTTTATCGTTAATAATGTTATTTCTATGTTCTGTGAAATCTTGAAGTTTTGATTTGACATTCTAATGCTCTCCCAACCTTGACTCCTGAAACGAAACGATCTTTGAAATTATGACTCATGAAGAGAGAACACCATACATTTTTTGGTGTCTGAAACCCGCGAAAAGGGGAATTATCTTTTGAAAGGTAAGAATTTTGATTTATTTGTTCTTGGTATCGATCTTTGAAAACGAAACATAATGGATGATTTAGCAAAAGAGAAAAAGAAATATGCTATTGTACGTAGTAAAGTTACTACACTTCTAAATAAACTTGAGAAATTATTATCGGAAGAATTAAGTAAAGAACATCTAGAAGATCTAAATTAAAACTCTTGACTCAAAGATCGATGCTCTCATAATTGATGAAAAAGAATATGATAACGAACTACTTGTATGTGAAGAGTATGATGAAAAAATTATAACGTTTAAAGCTAAGATTGTTAGTAAAGTAAAGAAAATTAACAGTAATGAAGTTGTTGAAAGAAGTATAATTACAACTAGTAATGGTATTAGTAGCACTCTGAATGGTAATAATGTTGTTACAAGTAAAGTTACTTAAATTAAATATTGAAAAATTTGCTGGTGATCCCAGTAAATGGCTCGAATTCTTTAATTCGTATGATAATGCTATTCATTCTAATCCAAGTTTATCTAAAATAGATAAGTTTACATATTTGAAAAGTTTATTATCTGGTTCAGCATATAATAGTGTTTCTGGTTATGCTTTATCTGAAGAAAATTATGATCTATGCATTAAAAGTTTAGAAGAGAGGTTTGGTCGTAAAGATGTTATTATATCAAAATTCATGCAGATGTTGTTACAGTTAGAACCAGTTAAAAGTTCTTCAAATGTTTTTGAGTTAAGAAAGCTCTATGATCAGTTACAAATCTGCGTTAGAAATTTAAGTAGTTTAGATGTTACTAGCGGTTCATACGGACAGTTATTGAACCCAATAATTCTTAAATTGTTACCTGAAGATTTAGCTCTTGAATTCCATAGAAAAAGAACATCTAACCAAAATATAGAAGTAAGTGAATTAATAGAATTCATTAAAATCGAAACTGAATGCCGAGAAGCAAGTATTTTGATTAATAGCTCAAAAGGTAATAAATACACAGGGGTTAATCCTAAACAAGGGTTCAAAAATTATAAAGTCAAATCACAAGCTTCTGCTTTTAACACATCGGTAAAAATGTTTTGCATATTCTGCAAACCAAACGAACATACATCTGCCGGATGTTTGAAATTTTCCGACGAACAAAAACGAAACAAATTAAAACATGAAGGTCGCTGTTACAGATGCTTTCTCAAATCACATTTGTCGTCGTTTTGTCGGTCAAAAATACAACCATGCGAAATTTGTAACGAGAAAAATCATAATAAACTTTTCTGCCGTTTGAAATCGAAAGAAATGGAAGATGTTAACTCCGCAGATACGCAAAATAAAACTTTAGTATCTACTTCCCACTGTAACACTCTAAAACCCAAAAATAGTGTGCTTTTACAGACATGTTCTGTTATTGCTCAAAGCAAAAATAAATCGAGAATCGTAAGATTATTAATTGATTCAGGTAGTGAACGAAACTTCATCACCCACGAGTTAGCACGCGATTTAGAATTGCAAGTCATTAGAAAAGAATTTCTAACAATTTATTCGTGTCTAAATCAGCGCGGTAACTCGCAAGAATTTGATGTATATAGTCTAAAAAATAAAAATAAAAACGATGATCGCTGCCTTGTTGTAGAAGCTATCGGGATAGAATTAATATCATCAATAGAATTCCAGGCACCATCAACATGTCAAAACATTAAAGAATTTATGACTAAAAAGGGTTTGGAACTTTCGGATACAAGTTCCGTTAATGAGAACATAAATATTCTGCTTGGCGCGGAGCATTTCTGGTATATACAAACAGGAAGTAATTCAATGATAAATGATGGTTTGTTTATAGTACCGATGATATTTGGATACACAGTGATGAGTAAAGTAAAAAATAATAATACTCGAATTAATGCATTGTTTTTATCTGCCGTTGAAGGAAACACATTTGATTTGCAGTCATTTTGGAAATTAGATTCGATAGGAATTGAAAATGAAAACAAAACATTTTGGAAACTGATTTGAATACTATTAAGCATTTTAACGATAGTTTAAAATTTAATAACGGCAGGTACGTACGAAACAAAACTCTTTTGGAAGGACAATAAATCACAACTCGCTGATAATTTTTTCGTTGCTAAACAACGATTTCTAGGACTAAAGCATAAATTAAAGGGAAATGATTTCCTATATAATGAATATGATAATATAATTAGAGAACAAGTTGAAAGGGGGATTGTTGAACAATGTAAGTTTGTTGAAAATGAACCTAACTGTTATTATATGCCTCATAGGCCCGTTATATGTGAAGGAAAAGTAACAACAAGAATAAGAATAGTTTATGATGCCTCTTCTAAGTCTGAAGAAGATA